CCTTCCAGTGCATAAGAAGCTTGTTTTCCCTGGTTGGGAGCAATATAAGAGCCCGATCACCAACTTTGAGCTGTCGGGTTTTGGAGGTTCGGTCATAATCTGTTCTTTACGAATGAATTTATTACATATATGCTCTTTATTTTTTTTTGGTACATTTTCTTATTTTGTGATGAGCTGTAATTGTACGTTTTCCTCATTTGTGTTTCAGCACTGGTAATAGCTGCCTAATTACCAGATGTTCTCGAATAAAGTTTACAAAATATGGTTAAAATGAATTTCACTTGCTAGTGATGACAGTGCTTGGGGTAAGACTGCAATCACCCACACCGAGATAATTAAAATCGCTAAAGAAAAAAAAAAGAAAACATTACAGTATTGAATACAGCTGCAAGCAGCATGTTCACATATAAGGAGGAATTGGGAATACAAACATACAATAAATGAAAAGGTAGAACTACGCAGATATGTAGAAGCCAGTGATGTTCCATACCACGCTGAAGAATTCCCATTCAGACACATGAAAATTCCCTAATTCGGGGATTTTTCCCTGAAAACGTTGACGAAATCCCCAGCATATTTCCCAGCACAACAGAACGGCGTTCCGCCCCCATTCACGCGCACACATACAATTCGTACTGGTGACTTTTGGGATCATGACTAGCCCCTCCACTGCCCTACAAAAAAAAACATGACTGTATTAATTAATATACTTTTAGTACACTGCACATTTCGGGCTTCAAGTCTAAAATCAATAGTGTACTAGAAATCGCTGCGAGTATATATCAGAAACAAATCTAAAAGGCTATGCTTGCGTGGTGCATGCGCCAGAACCGATTACAGCAGATGAAGGTGCGCTGTAACCACTAACTAACTATCGGTCATAATAGAAGAATTTAACCATTGCTGAAATTCCCTGCCATATCATGAAGATTCCCTTTTTCCCTTTGGCTGAACATGAAAGGCGAAAATTCCCCGAAAAAGGGAAAATTCCCTGCACGGAACATCACTTGTAGAAGCAGTTGACGCTGCACAATTTGGGGTGCAAAGATATACAACGATCACTGTGAACAGCCGTGTATACATACCTTCGGCATTGGGAAGCTTGCGATCTTCATACAAGTCCGTCAGAAACAGGCTGTTTATGAGCGTAGATTTGCCCAGGCCGGATTCGCCTGGCGAAAAAATGGCAAAAAGAAAGAAAAGAAACACAAGATGAGAGACTGACAACGTTTTCCGGAAGAAAGTAGATGGTGAGAGAGAGACTACTAGATCAAGGACTACTCTGAAGAGTTGAATGCGAAATGAAGCTCTAATCGTACCCACGACCATCAAGGTGAAGTCGAATCCCCTCTTGACTGATTTCCTGTGCACTTGCTCCGGTAGTGTAGCGAAGCCGATTTCTCCCTGCGCCGGCGAAGCCAAACATGGGATTGTTTACGCGCCCGCAGCGCAGCATCACTTCGCCACGCAAATACGACAACGTAAGAACGCCGACGCCCAACTGCTCCCATCTACAGCTATCGTATTTTAAAAAAAATCAAAAGGCTGGTCAAAGGAAAAGGTTCTCGCCTCAGAGGGGCACGGGGAGTGGCGCAGATCGGTGCTCGGCATCGCTGTTGATGGTCACTGGTGACTGCCTCTTCCTCCCGTGAGCAGCACAGTTGAGAGAGTTGCTTTACAGTCCACGCGTTTGTGCCAGCTTACCTCGCCGCTGGCGTGCTCTAAGAAAAGGCCTAATCACAGCCAGCGACTCGCGGTGGGTCATTTAAAAGCCATTGTTAAGGCGCTTCCTCCAACGGAGCGGCTGGAGCCGAGCGAAGCGAAGCCAATGAAGTCACCGACAGCGTCCCGCCACGGTCATGGCAACCAAAAACTACACACACACACACAAAAAAACAAAAGACCTTTAACAGTCATTGTTGCTCGACGCGGCGCCGTGGTTTGCCGCATTGCGGTAATGCGCACTGGCTGCACATTTTTGTACAATCGCAAGTGTGCGCGAGAAAGTTATATTTTTGTGTTATACACCATTCAGTTAGGCGACAAATTTGAACTCTTTGCGCGCACATTTATTAGTTTAAACTGAATTGTTGACTGAACTGAGCGCCACCCGGAAGCCTCCAACTAGACTGCGAAACGAGAAACCCAGAAACTACGAAAGTGCCGTTTTTCGGCGGAAAAGGGGTGTGTAGTGCGTGCGTGCGAAGGGTGTTGGCGTGTTTTGAGTTTGTGGAGTGCAGCGCGTGCGTCTCGCGTACGCGGGTGTGTACAGCGTGCAATGACAACTGCCCAGAAGAAGCTGGTCAGGTCCAAGAGCGGCCTCCGAATCGTCACAGTGGGTCACGAAGAGCTCAGTCCTTTCCATTTGGACGAGCCTCCGTGGACACCCGACCGAGAGGCGAGTCCACCTGTGACACCTTGTGTGCGCGTCTTTTTGAGCTATCGACAACCGCGGGCTTACCTCGCGAAGGGCGCGTATGTGTTCAGAGAGCATGTGTGTAACTAAGCCAACTCGGTTTAATTGCGCCGTTTCAAGCTGGAGCGAAATGCGCGTTGATCTTGGGCGTGCGGCCTCTTTGCGTGTTGATTGTGTGCTCGTTACGAGCTGCGCGATTTCTTTCTTTCTTACCCTTCTTTGCGGCTTCCTTGATCGTTCCAGAGATAGAGGAATTCAGTGCGAGTGCTTATGCGTGCTCCAAATTTCCTGTACCGTTTTTTTTTTTACTTCGCGTACGTGCACACGGCACAACAGCTGTGTCGCGGAGCTGCGTGATGAGCGACAGCTGGTAAACATTGCTTTATTTAATCGATAGCTCTCACATTTCTTTGCACAGGTACTTCAGTTTCTCTGCACGTGAGTTTTCGTATGCACGCGTAACTTTTTTTTTTTTGTGTGTGTGTGTGAAATGTTTTGCAGACCGCCGATTGCTGGCGTTGCCGCTCCAAGTTCGACTTCATAACTCGCCGCGTAAGTACAACGTTTTGCGTGTTTTACCCCATATGTCGAAGTGTACGTTGTTGTCCAGCCTGCAGTAACGATGAAGGTTGACAAGCGAGTTATCATCGTCGTTGATTAACTGGCGCATCACGCAAGCTGACCGCTGACCTCAATTGTTATTGCTTGCCACAAGGCTGCTCCTATATACGTTTGTGCTGTGCTTTTTTTTATCAGCTGGAGATAATAAAAATTACTGAAAGTCGTGTATTACTTTTGACAGCGACGTGCCTTCTCATATTATATTCTTTTTGACTGAGCGCCTCACTGCTATACTGATTACACGACAGTTTTGATTGAAGCGCGCATAATGTTCATATGAAAGCCTAATTTGAGCTAACTTCTATTTCCGATGAAGGCGGAAATGTTGTAGGCCCGTGTACTCAGATTTGGGTGCACGTTAAAGAAACCCAGGTGGTCAAAATTTCCGGAGCCCTCCACTATGGCTTCTCTCATAATCAAATAGTGCTTTTGGGACGTTAAACCCCACAAATCAATAAATTTGAGCTAACTGGTCGCCCAAAGTTTAAATACATCACTTTCCTTGGCAACATTTTAGGAGAGCAAGCTTGTAATGTCACGGGCCATTTTGCAGTGCCATTTCGTGCAACTGTGGAAGTGAAGGGATCATTTGTGTGATCTTTTCTAGCATATATGTAGATTCCTCCAGTGTGGTGCCAAAAACACTGGAGCAGCTTACGTTACAGTTCTACGAGTGTTGTAGCTCGGGAAGTATACGGCATCCTAAACATATATACGATGAAATGTTCAGCAAACTGTTTGCAGAAGTTGTGCGTGTCATGGAAAAAGTTGCTTCGCTGCATTTGGCCAAGCAGAGGTGAGACAGGCTGTGTAAACTGCATCAAAATGTGCATAGTGTGTTAGAAAAAGTCAATACGTTCATAAGAAAGTGTTCCTCACCTAACTGGTTGCAAGGGTGCTTCATTAGGATAAACTGCAGAATGCTAATTAGGTACACAAGGACAAAGAAGGTTATGAAGGGCAGTGCGTCCCATACTGGTTGTAGAATGTATACATATAGAAAAGTTTTTCGCAAGTAAAGATAGTTGCAACTTAGCGCTTGACCTATCTGGTGTGTCTTCTATATATTCTGTACCTCATTTGCTCTCAGTAGTTTACCTTGTCTTATCTATTTCAGCTAGCTAATTCATAATGTAAAAATTTTCTCATGCTGGATCTCTCTAGCCATTTCCGTCTTTCCTCAATACATTTTCATTTGGTTTATTAGATTTAACATGCAAAGCTACTCAGCCGATGAAAGACGCTGTGGGCATTATACAGTACACTGGCCTCTAGCGCTCAGCCTCTATCAAGATGTGACCACTGCAGCTGGGTTTGAACCCATGTCTTTCAAATCAGCAGTCGCACATTGTAACCATTAAACCACCACATATGTGGCTTTCTCCTCTGTTGTCAAGCAGTGGAGACCTTCAAACATCTGCACATGTACAGACTGTGTTGGCATTGTCACCAGCATGGCAACAGTATAGGGCACCTGGAATGCCAAAATAATTGCTATTGCAACAGGAAATGCTCTTTTGCTAAACATTGTATGCATTTAAGAACACAGGAAGCCATTGGCATAACTATTACCGTTTCTGAGTGTAGCACTGCTGATTCATCAACATTCACCTGGCGCCCTCTAACAGCTTCATCAGTCCACTAATAAAAAAAAAATACTGAAATAATCATGTACTGAAAATTGGCACGAACATTCAGTTTTGCATGCCAATACCCAGTGTGAATATGAGGCGCATGGTAATTTGGGGCTCTAAAGGTTAATTTTAATCAGGTTCCTTAATATGCGCTTCAACAGATGGAAAATACAAGAGCACTAAAGATTTCTAAGGACAAGTGCTCCTGTATTATGCTGCTGTTGAAGTTCAACTGCCTTTGTCGAAAATTGCCAATTAAACAGATTTCAGCAGTGTATGCTTTGAATAAGAAGCAACTTCAATGGTTATCTATAAAATTAACTGCACGATTAGGAACACCACGTGGCCCACATTAATACTGAGCCCTCCATCATCGTCCTAATGAAAATCCCGAACCCAGTAAATCAACCGTATGTGGTGGATACACAAAAAAGCTCACCTGGTTCTTGAAAGTTCCTCTCCACAGTTCTCATCTGCTGGTCGTATTGTTTCCGACTTTTGTTTGAAGCTGCCATAGTGACCTTAGGCTCTGATTGGCTTTGAAATGTCCATTCGTTGGCCGGGCCGGTAGTGTCATCCTGGCCGATGTACTTTTTACAGCACCATTGCCGTCGCTGTGGCCGCGTGTACTGCAGCAGCTGCTGCAGCCGTAGGCTTCCCTTGCAGCGCATGTGCTTTGTGGACCCCGTACGCATCTGTCATGACTGCAGTCCAGCGACGCTGCGGGAGAACGACTTCTACGACAGGCACCTGCGCCTGCTCCTCGCTGGTGCGCCCTTCCTCGTCACGATCGTGCCCGACGCGGGTGCAGCCCTGCCACACTGCTGTCGACTCTCCCCTGACCATCGGTGAGCATCTAGGAACATGGTTTTTGGTGATAAGTGAAGCTTCGTAGCGAGCAAACCAAGCAGCTTGTGCAGCTTCATGTTCATAAAGGTGAAACCCTAGAAGCCCATGCACTCAGATTTATGTGCACATTGAAGGGCGCGATGCATTCAAGGTTTACTCTGTAGCATCTATCATAATCATATGGTGGGTCTGGGATGTGAAGCCCTGATAATTATGGACGAAGCTTTCACAAGTTGGTATAACACGATTAAGGGTACAACCATAGAGGCCTGTAAGCTAATTTATCTTGTTAATAAAATGTTTTAATTAAGCCACACTAGCGAATTGGCCAACCTACTGTTCCTGGGTGGCTACACCAAGCACAGGGTTTCTTATTAGAAACGGTGCTAAGCATATTGAGCATTGGTGATGTTTCCTGTATCATTACACTAAGTTGCTGGCAATCTTTTGAAAGTATGCGAACCTTTACTGGCTCATGAGATTCTTGAACACGTATCTTTTTTTTTTAAGAGATACCCATTGCATGTTTAATGCAAAAGCATTTTATAGTTAACTAGGTGAAACCAAGCACCCAACTGGTGTCTGCAGGATTGCATCTGGAAAGCACTTGAACTCTTCTCCCGGAACTTATGCTAGCACAAATAACTGCCAAGGTGACCACCTGAATCCGTTGCGTTGAAGGAGAGGGAAATGGCAAAGCAGTAGGGGATGTCCTGACTTGAAGTAAAGACTGTGCCTATGGAAAGCCGATGTGCTGTGCAATACCACCGACGTTTGCAACATGTGGCCATTGACATGGGATCTGTGAAGGAAGCGTGCCTTGTCTGCTGTACTAGTTGGCCTTGACAGCACTGTTTTGCAGCACCCTTCCCTAATGACCTAGCCAAAAGCAGTGCTTTCATGTTTTCATCACATGAGATTATGCACAGGCATCCTTTCTAGTATTCTTTCCTGTGTGTGCCTGCGGGTTTCTGCAGAAAGTGTTACCGCAGGAGTGAATAAGTGGGAGGTACAGTGAAACTGCAATGCCCTTGCTATGGGCTCTCAAGTACCAGAGCGCACGGAGCTATGTGCCCAGTGTGTCATCACATTGTTTCAAAGCATATGACTGAGCTGTGGCTCCTCATTTCCCGATGTGACGCAGTGTGCACTGAAATATTTGAGCCCTTGTTGGTGGGTGGAGTTTAATGGCCAATTCTGGCAATTTAACTATCATGTCTGAGTGACGGCAGTTCAATTTTCCTCAGATGCTCGATCTTGTCACTTGCCTAGTGTTAGATATTCCCAGCAAACTTCAAACAATATCAAATAAGATGTGAAACTGAAAGCGAGTCCCAGTCGAGCAGTACTGTCCCCACACAATGAAACAAATCAAAGGTCATGCACTGTATGCAGGCTTGTCAAGCATGGGGGCATAGGACAAAAGTAGCAAAGAGCAGATGCTCAGTGGAAATGTGACTACACTGCACTGTTCATGTCAAGTCTCTGGTTGTAAAGGATATTCCAGCAGTGCAGGTTTATCCTATGAATACTTTTCCCATAATGCATATGTCACACCGGTCCCGTTAATGAGGGAGGCGATCGCCGGGCTAATTCCAAGGGCCGAAGTATGGGCCCCCCGAACCGCACCACGAAAGCGTGGACAATTTTGAAGTGGTCCTTTTTGGCGCGCCAGCGGACGCCGGCTGTGGCCCAAAGAACAAGTCAGAGCCGAGAGTTGATAAACAAAACAAAGATTTTCTCAAAAATGGCAGATCGAAAACAATACACAAGAATGCACACTCCCACAATAGTTACATACAATACGTCACCAATCAAACAATGTACTACACAGTACAATCAGCCACACTCAAAACAACGGACGCAGAAAACGATACGCACTACAATGCAGTCGCATGCATTGAACAACCAAGACACATAAAGACTAAAGAGATAGAAAACCTATCCAGTCCAAAGTTTTTGGAACAAAAGTCTGGATGATACTCTTCCGAGAATCACTCACTCAAAGTCCAGCGTTGTTGTCGTTCCGCGCCCTCGAAGTTTCTCTTCCAGGAAACCTCGCGTCTTCAATTGGCCACTCTCCAAGCTTCAAACTTCTTCGCCCGAACACGTCGGCTTCACACACGCAGCTGTCGCCACGCGTCTTCGCTCGATAGCGGTAAACACACTCTCTTGCCTGTAGCTCGAGCCTTCACCCCTCAGGTGGAAATCCTCTTCATCTTCTGCTTCGTCCCTACGGACAAAACATTCGCCGACTACACGGCGGAATCCCTACGCACTCTGGCGCTACTTCCGTCTTCTCCTCCTCTCTCGTCTCGGCCGCTCGATTAAATACCTTCTGCGCCACATTCTAGAAAGTTCTCGTCATTTCGTCGGCACGATACGCAGCGAAGGCTGGGGAGAGGCGCGAGACTGTATGGGGGCCGTCCCCGACAGATGAGTCAACTCGGCATACACGCCCCGTTCCTTCTGGAAAAATCGAGTGCTTGCTCGGCCGCCGTTGTGGGGTGAGGAGGTTCGTCGGCGAAGCCACGCTTCTGCGGGGAGAGCGGGTGCCCTGGGAGCCTTGGATGTTTTTTTTTTTTTTTTGACCTCGCGGCGTTTCTCTCGCCCGTTATCCCAACAATTTGGCGGCGTGCCCATTTTTAGCGCTCGTTCTGTGACACTGCCCCCCACTTTAAGAATATTATCTCATAATATTCAAAACCACACAAACGAGCGCGAAAAGTCACCACACACTCTCACAGACTGTAACACAATCCGTCGCTCATGACACTTCACATTCACAATATATCACTCAATACGATTGGACATTACATTCAATCTCACACACATGAAATATAACCGCAGGTACATGAGTACAACGCTTCATCACACATTCCAAACAATACCAACGTACAAGGTTGTGTCTTTACAACAATTATACAACACTATACATCACATCACCTTAAGAAACTTTTTGATTTGCTCGACACCGGATAACACAATAACAACACAGCCTATTGCGTTCACTGCTGTCAGACACTTCCAAAACATTCAAACTCGGCTAAGGTAGTCGGCACCAACGTTCTCGCTTCCCTTGATGTGCTCGACTCGGAACTGATACTCTTGCAGAAGCAAGCTCCACCTCAACACTCTGCTGTTGAGCTGTTTAGCCTGTTTTATGTATTGGAGAGGCTGGTGGTCAGTTTGGACCAAGAAAGGCACTCCGTAGAGATAAATATTAAACTTCTGTATCCCCCACACCAGGGCTAGACATTCTCTTTCGATGGTGCTGTAGGATGATTCCCGGGGAAGTAGTTTGCGACTGGCGTATGCTATCGGATGCAGGGTCCCTTCGTGTGACTGCAAGAGCACAGCCCCGAGGCTGGTGTCGGAAGCGTCGGTGCGGAGGATGAATTCCTTGGTTAAGTCTGGGAGGCGGAGCACGGGAGGGCTCGAGATGCATTCCTTGAGTTTCGCGAATGCTTTCTCGTGTGTCGTCGTCCATTTTACTAAGTTGCTTTCACCCTTCTTGATCAATTCTGTGAGAGGGGCGCTGATCTTGGCATAATTTGGAATGAACTCCCGATAATAGCTGGTCAACCCGAGAAAAGCGCGTACCTGTCGCTTCGTCTTTGGGGCGGTTGCAGCTTGGATTTTGTCGAGAGTCTTTCCCAGTGGAGCAAGCATGTTTTGTCCAATGTGATGACCAAGGAAATCAATCTCATTCATTCCCAACTCACACTTGCTCGGTCTCACGGTCAACCCGGCAGCCTGAATTCGAGCGAAGAGTTGTTTGAGAGTGGATAGGTGTTCCTCCCAGGTCGTGCTTGTTATGAGTACGTCGTCGTAGTAATGTTCAATGCCCGGGATTCCCTTAGTGACTAGTCGCATCAGCCGGGCGAATACGGCGGGTGCCGTTTTGATCCCGAAAGGCATGTAGCAGAACTGGTAGAGACCGGATTTTGTCGAGAACGCAGTCTTAGGTTTCGACCGCTGGGAGAGTGGGATTTGCCAGTAGCCCTTAACAAAATCTAACTTAGAGAAGTATCTTTTGTTTGTGGCACTGGCGAAAACGGCATCTGCTCTAGGCATGGGCTTTGCATCTGCTATTATGAGGTTGTTCAGGCGCCGGAAATCGACTACAAACCGCTTGGTTTTGTCCGGTTTGTCCACAAGCAACACGGGGGAATTATAGGCCGATTTTGAGACTTCAGTTATGCCCAGTGTTTTCATTTGCTGTACCTCGGCCTCGGTGTCTTTAGTCGTAGCAAAAGGTAACGGGTACTGTTTGACGTGGACTGGGGACTCCGTCACTGTCTCGAGGTGACACTCCACCCAATCTGTCTTGCCCGGGAGATTCGAAAATATCTTAGAGTGCGCTGTCAGGGTTTTCTCCAACTCCCCCTTTTGTTGGTCCGTCAAACTTGGGCAGATCTTGACGTCAGTAATCCCTTCTGTCTGCACGAACTCCGGCACCGGTAGTTCCTGTTTATCTCCATTGTCAATAACCCCTACGATGACTTGGCATTGATGCGGCGCATCTTGGTTCGTTTCCCGTTCCGCATACTTCTTCAGCAAATTGGCATGGAAAATTTTCGGCCCGCTCGGCGTCTTTATGGAGTTATCGAAGTCCCCAATTGTCGCCTGCACTTCGAAGGGCCCCTTCCAATGCAGCAAGAGTTTATTTTTGTCAGTAGGGAGCAGGATGAGAACCTTATCTCCTGGTTGGAATACTCTATCCCTTGATTTTCGATTGTAGTGCTTAGCGTAGCGTGCTCCCGCCCTTCGGAGTTCTTCGTGAGCTAGGCGGCACGTCTCTTCTAGACGATTTCGGAGATCCAATACGTACTGGTAGGTTGTCTTCAGCTCATCGTCCAGCTCTTGGTTCGTCCAGACTTCTTTTAAGATCGCCAGGGGTCCCCGGACATGTCGGCCGTACAGTAGCTCGAACGGTGAAAAGCAGAGACTTGCCTGGGGAACCTCTCTGTACGCGAACAGCAACGGACTGAAGAATCTGTCCCATTTTTTTGGTTTCTCCGCGCACATTCGTTTAAGCATAGTCTTCAGGGTGCCATTAAATTTTTCCACCATCCCGTTGGCCATCGGGTGGTAAGGGGTGGTATGGAGTTGGCGCACTGATAGAAGTCGTGCCACTTCCTTCATTAACTCCGACGTGAAATTCGAGCCCCTATCATTTAAAATTTCCCTCGGTACACCAAAACGGGAGAACATCTCAACGAGGGCTTCTGCGACTCGTTCGGTCTCTATGCCAGGTAGTGCAACTGCCTCCGGATAGCGCGTGGCGCAATCGACGAGAGTCAGGATATAGCGGTTTCCTTGACCAGATGGAGGTCGGATAGGGCCTACTATATCAATAGCTACCCTTATAAAGGGGATGTCTATGACGGGGGACTGGCCGAGTGACACGTGTGGCACCCTTCCTTTTGGCACAGTTCGCTGGCAGATATCGCAAGACGCCACGAACCGTTTCACGTCGGCTGTGACACCGGGCCAGAAGAATTCTTCCTGAATTCTGTCTTTGGTTTTCTCGGCTCCCAGGTGCCCAGCCATTATCCCATCGTGGGCTAGCTTCATAACAGCCTCTCGGCGGTTCTTCGGCACCAACAGCTGTCGTATCCGCCGACCACTCCTCTCCGTATAGTACCTGTAGAGCAGTCCATCTTCCTGCTTGAACATTATCGCGCATTTACTATTACAGCATCTGAGGTCCTTGTCGATTTGCGCAAAGCAGGGTTTTAACGACTCGTCCTGTATTTGTTCCTCGGCATAGCTGAAGTTCGGGTCCTCCTCGGAATCGGGTGCAGGGAGGGGCTGGAATGGTTTCGACTGGGCTTTGGTCTGTGCTCGGGTCGCAACTGCGACTACGTCCTCATCGTCCGTGGCTGGTTGGTCGTGAGGGTTTGCAATCGATGGTGGATCGATTTCTGGGTCCTCTTCCAGTGGTTCGGGTTGGTCCGGTGAACGGGCGCCCTTGATGTTCCCCACGATTACGTCATACAATGGATCATCCATGCAGAAGGCAGAAACAATTCCACTGTAGAAGGGCGTCTCGATCTTGACCTTGGCCTCAGGCAGCCTCATAACCGAACGGTCGACGGTGTAAATCAGGCTGGTCTGGCCCGTGAGTTCGTCGTCGCGGACTAGGTCTCTCCGTACTATTACAGTGGAGCACCCAGTGTCTCTTAAGACGTCTACACGCCTTCCCGCCACTTTTCCAGCCATCACAGGCATTCCCTTCGTAGCACCTGTTTGTTGTTTTGTCAATACCGCACCCACAATAGGGATTTTCTCCCCATTTTTCAACTCTACGAATCCATCGGTGACGTCATCAACGGTTTTTGGTGCCACTTGTGCACAGGATACCTGGTGAGTTTGACTCGCTCCGTTACGACATGCGTCTGTCTTGTGCCCAGTCTGACCACATTTGAAACATTTTACAACCGTGGGGCTCGTGAAGTTAGTTCGGCAGTGGTTAGCACGGTGACCCACTCGGTTGCACAAAAAACATCGCGGAATGCTCTCTGGTGCACGCTTCTTTTCTTCGGGAGTCAGTTTCTTCGAATCATCGGGACCATCCTTCTTGACTCTGGCCAAATTAGTGCCACCTTGCGCTTCCAAGAATTGATCAGCTAATTCAAGCATGTCTTCAAGTGACTTAGCTCTCCTCTCTTTCAAGTACAGCGACAGGCTTGGATGGCAACTAGTAAGAAATTGTTCTCTAATTAGGAGCTCTCTAAGTTCATCGTACTCCTGCGCTGTCCCTGAAAGTTCAATCCATCTGTCGAAATAATGGCTAAGTCGGGCGGCGTACTGTGTAGCCGTCTCACCATCAGCTGGCTTTCCTGTCCGAAATCTGTCCCGGAATCCTTCTACAGTAAATCTAAATCGCTTCAGCAAAGCAGCTTTCACCTTGGCATAGTTGGCTGCATCGGTCGGCGTCAGCCTACCGTACACACTGAGCGCTTCACCACTCAAGCAAGTACTCAAAGCAGTTGCCCATTGATGTTCCGGCCAATTCTGGCTCCTTGCAATTGTCTCAAATCTGTGAAGGTACGCGTCCAGGTCGTCCTTCCTTTCATCAAATGCTACGAGCAGCTTGCTTGGGTTCAAGCGGAAGCCAGGATCCTCTCGTTCGCTGCTTTCAACTCTAGCTTGGACGGGAGTTTCACTTCGCTGTTGCAAACGGAGCCACTCGAGTTCCATCTCTAGCTGCTGCTGCCGTTCCCTTTCCTCTCTTTCTTCTTTCAGCTGTCGCTCCTTTGCCTCTCTTTCTTCTCTCGCCCTCTCAGCGGCCAGCTTTTCTCTCTCCAACTCCGCTGCTCTTTCTTCCTTGGCCCTCTCAGCTGCCAACCTCTCTCTCTCCAACTCAGCTGCTTTTTCTTCCTTGGCTCTTTCTTTTTCTTCTTTTTCCTTCTGGGTGACCCACTTCCGTAGTTCGGCGCCAGAAAGACCCATCTTCTCACCAAGAGCGACTAACTTTTCGAGATCCATTGTGTCTCGCAACTCGCAAATAAAACCTTGCCGCGTGCAAAAGGTATCTGCCTAAATCAGTCTATCGGAACACTCCCCTGCACTCGTTAACGAGAACACTGAACAACACACAAAATCGTTCCGATAGCAGTATCAACAACTCGAGGCTCTTTCTCACTACTTTGGACACACTGTGCACCAAAAGGTCCTGTCGCGGATGCCAGATTAATTGTCACACCGGTCCCGTTAATGAGGGAGGCGATCGCCGGGCTAATTCCAAGGGCCGAAGTATGGGCCCCCCGAACCGCACCACGAAAGCGTGGACAATTTAGAAGTGGTCGTTTTTGGCGCGCCAGCGGACGCCGGCTGTGGCCCAAAGAACAAGTCAGAGCCGAGAGTTGATAAACAAAACAAAGATTGTATTCTCAAAAATGGCAGATCGAAAACAATACACAAGAATGCACACTCCACAATAGTTACATACAATACGTCACCAATCAAACAATGTACTACACAGTACAATCAGCCACACTCAAAACAACGGACACAGAAAACGATACGCACTACAATGCAGTCGCATGCATTGAACAACCAAGACACATAAAGACTAAAGAGATAGAAAACCGATCCAGTCCAAAGTTCTTGGAACAAAAGTCTGGATGATACTCTTCCGAGAATCACTCACTCAAAGTCCAGCGTTGTTGTCGTTCCGCGCCCTCGAAGTTTCTCTTCCAGGAAACCTCGCGTCTTCAATTGGCCACTCTCCAAGCTTCAAACTTCTTCACCCGAACACGTCGGCTTCACACACGCAGCTGTCGCCACGCGTCTTCGCTCGATAGCGCTAAACACACTCTCTTGCCTGTAGCTCGAGCCTTCACCCCTCAGGTGGAAATCCTCTTCATCTTCTGCTTCGTCCCTACGGACAAAACATTCGCCGACTACACGGCGGAATCCCTACGCACTCTGGCGCTACTTCCATCTTCTCCTCCTCTCTTGTCTCGGCCGCTCGATTAAATACCTTCCGCGCCACATTCTAGAAAGTTCTCGTCATTTCGTCGGCACGATACGCAGCGAAGGCTGGGGAGAGGCGCGAGACTGTATGGGGGCCGTCCCCGACAGATGAGTCAACTCGGCATACACGCCCCGTTCCTTCTGGAAAAATCGAGTGCTTGCTCTGCCGCCGTTGTGGGGTGAGGAGGTTCGTCGGCAAAGCCACGCTTCTGCGGGGAGAGCGCGCGCCCGGGGAGCCTTGGATGTTTTTTTTTTTTGACCTCGCGGCGTTTCTCCCGCCCGTTATCGCAAGAATTTGCGGCGCGCCCATTTTTAGCGCTCGTTCTGTGACAGGATACAGGTTTTATCATCGTACAGCAACCTGCATCATGCGAAAGGTGGCTTGTGCTTCACTTGCGTTTAATATCAGCTATACTATTGCCACCACGTTAATAGCTGCTGTTTTGAAACTTATGCATTTATCTGATAAAATTGTAAGAGAATTTAGTCTGTCTACAAATGTTTTAAAAACGTGTAAATATCTTATCTGATTACCGCAGCAACAAAATTAAGCTTCCTGGATAGGTGGTGCCATCTGACAGCGTAAAAATAAATCAGGCAAGCATGTAAACAAATGTGTTCATTCCTGCCAGTAGCATAATTCTGAATGCACTGGCTTTCAAACAACCTGAAGGTCACCAGTGAGGCGCCGGCCAAAGGGGTGGCATTATTGGGCTCTTGATGCTGCACTGATTAGTATGATGCATCTGCACTAACCTGCGCTGGCACTTCTGTAGCTTTTGTTTTGTAACACTGGTCATTAAATATGGGAAGCCTCGAGGTAATCAGTAAAATTGACTCGTAAGCGATCTGCTCATTTCTCAAGCCTATAACCTTGGGTAAATAATGGAACTGTGCATAGGACCATCATACGCAGCGAATTTTATTGAGTTCTTTTGACCTAAAAGAATTAACCTAAAAGAATGAAAAATTTTCGGTCAACGTGTGAACTTAGAACCCAGTTTGTTATGTTACCAACCATATTAGGCCTTCTACATTCAGTAATAGTCATAAATTTGAAATTAGTAAGACGAGGTCCCATTTCAGTGTATACTTCTGGGCCTCCTTCTGTATATTCTTCTTGGACATTGTATTAGGAAATAATGAAACTTGATTGGATTTGAGTTCATCATGAGTGGTTCTTAAAGCATAGTACCCAATATGCTGAATAACCGGTACAGTGCAACATACCTACTGGGAGTTATTTCTTCCATTTTTTCTTTGCTGTATGGTTGCCGCTGTTTAATAGTGATGCTCATTTTTTCACCCCATTTTGTGATGTTTTTTTTTCCTTGCAGCATCCTCGAGATGGAAAATGTTCAGAGCAAGGAGTGCATAGAAATTCCTTTGGCCAGCATATGCACTTACCGAATCCTCAGGCCCAACAGCCCCGGAATGACCAACTCGAGTGAGTTCAAATGCACACCTGCTAATATTTCTAACTTTCTTTGTGCTTATACTGTTGCTTCTTTGTGGAACATATGCTTTTCAATATCAACATTTGCACTCATCTTTATTTTTTGCTGTGACAGGCTTTCAGTAGCTGAAAATTGTGAAACATGTTATTGTCTAGTCCTAGTTGCATCTAAATGTATTAGAACCTTTTCTATGTTTTCGTTTGGCCCTATCAGATAACTTCTTCAACATGAATAATAGAGTACATTCTCAAGTGTCCGGGAGCAATAGCGAAAATGCTGGTGTGTACCGCGGCTTGTGTATGAACAGCCGATGCACTGCATCTGCCGATACTGTTGCACCCTAAGTGTTTTTCGTTTTGCCAGATGCAAGGTTGCCCTACAGTATACTTGTGTACAATACAGGAAAAGAATAGGGGCTTCTAGCTTGTACGTATACTTCTTTATGTTAACGCGTTACTGGACAACGGTTTGCATTTACCGTCTTACCAGAACGCATGTCTTTCAACGTTTTAGCTCCTCATTCCTAAACATTTACGTATGTGCATAAATGCATATAGCTTTAGGTTTTTGCAAACCATAAATGGTGATGCTAACTGTATTTAAAGTGCATTTAACTTACAAAGGTTTAAATCACCGTTGCGGCAAAATCACGAGATGTTTATTTATTGTGAGTAGTATCCTCGTATGCACAAAATGGTGAAAAATATAAGGTTACTGCAATGGTGGTGTTCATGACCACAGTCATGAACACAAGATGTCAACACCACCAGGCACGCGCTGTGGTAAACAGCCTATAATAGCCTCGAGGGTGACTGTTTGTATTCGATGATTTCTGTTAGGTAAGATGTTATCCCAACTTATCAATGAGCATGAGTGTGCATAGTAGTATATCAGATTTTGGATTTCAAGACTAGGCCCCACCATACTGGTAGGGCCTCCCAAAAATTGGCCTATAGGCTTATTGGAGTGTCCGTCTCCACAGTAATCTTCAGTAAAGGGCAAAATATTGTGTTTAGAAAAAGTTTATTTCAACGTCGTTTCTTACTGGACATGGTGTCTGCGTGGATTTGAGGAGAGACCTGAGCGATGACTAAAGTAAAGCCATGCCGGGGCATGGCACTGTGTCTGACCCCATGAGGAAGTCAGGTTTTGGCATGTTCTGTTCGCCGAAATTCACCCCTGTATGGTGTAGTGAACTGATCGAACAGATGTGGAAATGTTTACTGCAGCTATTAGAGTTATTCTATTAATAAATGTTTGATAATACCTGTTCCATTGTGGTGAAAACATCAAAAGGTGTGCATCTCGGTATGTGTAAAACGTTTCGAAGTCTCCTCTTGATAGCGCGGTGGTGCTGCCCTCTACTGTACACTCAGGTGATCAGAAAACACGCGATTGATTCATTCTGCCCATCGAGCCATGGCGCCAGCAGTAGCCAAAAAGAAAAAAATTGTACGCGCTCAGTATTCATGTTGAGTCGTAGAAATTATGATTAGCATTGTTTTAAATAAAATGTGAAGCATTCTGTACAGCCTTGTATAGACATGTGAGACCTAGGGCAAGCGTTGATTCAGAAGATGTGTATTGGGCCCGCTCTGGTCTCTTGCACTACCTGCAGTTGCAATTCTCATTGTAGCTTTTTGATCAAGGCCTCTTTCTGTGTATTTTTCTGAAACATTCACAGTCACTCATTCTTCTTCGGATACATTTTAGATTATGCCCCAGTGTGCAAACTGTAATGATCTTTATTTCTTCTTGGACATATAATTGTGCACCCTTCACCATAAGATCGTGTTTGTGTATTTTGTTATCTCTAAAAAAAAAAAAAACTTGACAATGATTTTCCACTTTCTTCTCCGCTTGGATTGTTCGCTTATTCTCCTGTGTTCTTTAAGGCCAGTAAACTTGTTTTTGTTGATACTTCAGAGGTGCTGCATTGCAAGGAAAATAACGGAGTTTGTAGCGTTGCAGTTATGCACGCTCCACACCTTCTGAATTTGAGTTGTGCTGTGTTACCTGCGTACTGTGAGGACACAGACGTTCTACCCCATTGCCACTGCCACCTTCTCATGTAGGCCTCTAGAGCAGAGTGGGCTGTGTTTGCAGAAAGATTGGCGTTGCCACGTGACCCACAAGCTACACGCTGCATCTGTGCACGGTCTCGGTTGAAGCGGTATGAAATACTCACGGCAAATGTGTACGAGTATGCGTATGGTATGGCAAGCAGCGCGTGCATAGGCGTGATGCACGCAACTAGCGATAGACGATCGGCTCCTCGTGACGTGGCGTGATGTCGATGAAACGGTGACCCTTCGCACAGCGGCAGGTCGCGACGGACACGTACGAAAATCGATGCGTGTTTTTGACTGCTTTGTCAGTCACCACATGTCCCGAGTTTCGAAATGCTTCTTAGGTGGATCCGACTACAGCAGCGAGAAGCCTTAGCAGAGACACCGCCTTGGCCTAACATTTGTATTCGACTAGATTCATTTGACAGCCGTGAAAGAGATGAGAAAGAATGCCCATTTATGAAAATTATTTATTTCTAGCAAACTGAATTTTTCTCTGAATTATACGGAGTGGAGAGGGGTTGGACATTTGCCACCATCTTCAATTTTGGGACAGCACTTCTAAGCAAAAGCCCCTTCCTAAAATGCCTTGCATTCTCTCTTTCTTCATTGAGAAGGAAGGGGGGGGGGGGGTTAGCTTTTGTGGGGCAATCTACATAAAGCTCCTAAATAAACTAAATGTAACGCAGAGTCCCCCCTACCTGCACAGGTGTTCGTTCTCTCTTTTGTCAACTGTGGCTCCCCCTATGGGAGGATGAGCTAGCGGACCCCGTCTACATCATAAATACAGTTGCTGCTGATCATTCGTGCTCGTCAGCTGTCTGTGAGATCAGATTTTTTATGTTACATTTTACTAGCTGCCAAAACATTATGCAAGGACATCGAAATATTGTTGCGATCAATTGGTTCTGATATTGGCCATGAGACATCGAAATGTGGACATTGAAATATACCATAGCATTGTCCGACTGGCGAAACCCCAGCGCTTCATATTCTCATTGGCCAGTTTATTAAAACTTCGGTTTCTGAAAATGCAAGCAGCACTGAAATAGCTGTCGACTGCACTGAGGGTGCGAATTTCGAAAGAATTTGGTCACGGCCAGGAGTGCTAAATTACCGAGCAAGCAAGCGTGCACAGCCTACGCTACGGTATGAAGAAGGTTCGTCGAGTAAGGCCCTTGCGCAAAATTCAGCACAACTTGTGGGTCTGAAGATTGTATGAAATTTGCGATTACTTACAGCTTTTCAATTTGGCATGACATCGTATTAAGTAATTATGTCTTGTCATTGCAATTTAGCAGTGATAAACATGGTAGTGATAGTTAGAAATTAGTGTTTGCGTGGAGTTCATTGATGCACTGTGGCATCAAGCTCTGTTGTCATCCTCGTCATCATCATTCTCATAATCATCAGCCTGACTACGCCTGCATTCCATACCTAACGGGTAGGAAGTCCGATCTGCTGTCGCCTATCTTTGCACAAGAGCATTTTTTGACGAGCCGTAACTGCAAACAAAATCATATAATGCAACATATTTCCATTGATTGTGAAAGCTGATGTGTAGTAGAATAAGTGGGGAAAGTACTATAAAAAAAATATCAAAAGTGCTTTTGTTTTATTTGTCGTCAGAAGTTTTCCTTGCATGCTCTTTTCTTGAAGTTAGCACGATTACACATATTTTTATTGAAAAGTGATATTAAATAAGATTTAGCAGTTTTATAAATAAGCATGCTGAGAAAGTAATGCGGAATTTTCACCCCTCTACCATAGGTTCTTTGTGAAATAAGGGCCTGCAAACAGAAAAACGTTGTCAAATTTGAGAATTTTTAATAAATAATCTACACTACATTGAACATCAGTGCCAGTACGCCTATATGTAGCCAAACATATTTGAGGCAGGTAGTATTGGTACATTTTCTGTAATTCATCAGCAAATTCGAAAAAAGCAGCAGAGCAGGTAAGTGTGGTCCTCCGCTTCTCCGTCATTATTGATTTACTGTGCTTCAAAAAATTTTTTTTTCATAACAAAACCAGTGGCAGATCTCTTCTTTACACACATCAGGCAACAATGTGTAAAATTTTGAAAGAAATTTATGAGGTCGACCAGCCATGGTTTGTTCAATCGTACGTGAAATCGCCCCTAGTTACAGCCTTGGCATGAGTAATTTCACCACAACTAGGTGTATGAATAAATGAAAAAATCGTTGAGAATATTTTCAATCTGAATTTCCCTGGCGAAACACTGCGATTGTAACATCACAGATTGTTGCAAAGTTCTTTTTCTTATGATCATTTCCTAAATCTTAGTGCGTTGAAGTTTTTGGCTCTCAGAGGATAATATGCTTCATTTTTACCACTTGGAATTCTACATACATCCCTGGATGCCATCAAAATCTGTGTTGAGGAAAAGTGCAGGTGAAGAGCACAGCAGTTAAGACATGTTACTTTCACTTGATTGAGGGGCTTTAATTTTACAGTATGCAGGAATATCCAATATTTATGACAGCAGTAGCATCCTTACCATGACATCTACTGTACAAACTGGACTATAGGTCGAGTGGGAGTATAGTTTGCCTTCCAAGTTTGAGTGACCAAAAAAGAGAAACAAAGGAAAAACAACCCAAAACTGCCGAAACACATTTATTTGTGAATTAAGTGCACCGCACCCAGATCGTCGGAGCTCCCCTCAACCACTATCACAAACTGTTTTTATTCGTCGGATGAAGCACCACCGTTTTCTGAACACAAGAGTTTGTCGCCGGCCGCCTCCCGTAGTGTGTCGTCTTTCGTGCCATCCAGCGAGTTGCTGATTCAGCATTTCTTGAGAACATTTTCCACCATGGAATGTGGCAAGGAACGCCAGCCGGAAAGCACCCAGCCACAAACAGTCGCAAGCCGAGGCCTTTGTAGGCAGCCCGTCGGCATCTTTAGGTGTCGCCAGACGTCCACTCTCGGTACTCCAGCCGCACTCGGTCCTTGAATGGCTTGTTTAGCAAAATGCCGAGCAGCTGGAGGTTAGACATCATACTACCTGGTATCACGACGATGTCCGTTTTTGCATCGCTGAGTGCACATTTCACAGCGTCGGTCAGGTGATTATGAAACTCATCCAACACCAGCATGCTGAGAGGACTCAGCAGTGCACCTGGCTGACGGTTCTAGACTACTCGTATCCATTTGAAAATTATGGCCTTGTTCATGTATCTTCGGCATCGTCGTACGTTTGAAAATGATGAAAGGTGGAAGCTTTCTACCGTCTGCCGTGCATGCCAGCATGACTATGAAGCGCGAGTGCTCATTGCCAGTGGACAACAGCTTCACATCCTTGGCACCACACTGCCTGATCATGCTCAATGAAGGCATGTCAAACCACACAGGGCATTGCCACTCTACCCCATCATGTAGTTGTTCTGCTCCAGAAGCCGGTTCACGAAGCGCTGAAAGTTTATAAGCCTGTCTTCGAACTCCTTTAGCAACTTCTTACAGAAGGATGTGCACCACCGGAGAGAATCTTTTGCATCTCGTGAATTGACGCACCCAAGAGTTTGGTGCACGAAACTCTTCTCTCCTGTGCCCAGCTTTTCGAGCGAATTGCACAGCTTTCTTGCACATAGTATCCACAGTCACTGGCAGTGAGCGCGCACAAACTGCCTGTACAAAATTGGCTAGGTTATCCTCCAGCTGCGGATGAACCGTACTCTGCCCACGAAACGACATTTTCCGAAGATAGCACATCTGCAGCTTCCCTTTCTGCGCTTTGCAATATCGCAAGCTTTTTTCCCGATACACCAAAGCGGCGCTGAGCAGCCATGTTTTTCAGCGCCGCTTTGGTGTATTGGAAAAAAAAGCTTGCGCTATTGCAGAGCGCAGAAAGGGAACCTAAATGTTGTTTTGTTCGCTTCCGCAAACTCAACAACAATAAGTTTAAATGCAGCTGAGAACTGCCTTCTCGTACTGCTACTCATATTCAGTCAAAAAAAAAAAAAACACTAAAAATTAAATGCAACGTTATGCAGAGTGAAAACTCGAAACAAATAAGAAGCAAATTGTGAACACAAAGTACAGAGAGAGAGATAAAAAAAGCCCGTTATTGTATTTGGATGTGGATATGGCAGTGTCCGGCTTCTCACGCACATAAAAGTCACATGTTGCCAAACGGCGGGGCATTGTTGGTTAGACACTGCTAAATAAGAAGACGGGTGACTTTAGCTCGTTTTTTTATTAAAATATCTTGAATTACATTCTGGATTATACGTTAGATCTTTTCTGATAAAACTGTCTCTCTGTCTGCAGCACGGAGTCCTTTGACGAGCGATGGTGGCCTGAGCGGTGTCATGATTGGCTACAGGCCGCATGGAGTGGCACAAGGGGCAGGTGAGGAGCAGCAGGATACAACAACGGAGCTTGCACAAACGCTCTTGCACCTCGGTCTATCGCCTGCACCTGAGGCTGCCGCACAGGGGGCCCTCTGGATTGTGGCACTCAACAAGGTATTGTCTACTTTACAAACACTGGAGTTGGCTAAAACATGCTGGCAGGCTACATGGTTTGCATGCATGATAGCTGTGTATGTGTCATGATTGTAAAATGGCGACAAAAGCTAGCACTTGTCTTCATGTCTTCTGCATTGACTGTGTTTCATGTTTTTCGATCTGTCATTTTGATAATCTTGGAATCATACTAACTTGCCTAATTGTCAATGCTGCTGAATGTCTGTCTTCGTGATGTTGCACTCACTCTGTCACGGCACTAGAGGCTTCCGAAATTTGTATATTGAAACTTTAATACACACAGACGGAACGTTAATAAGGACCAGTGAAGATTAACAACTGACATTTTTTCAATGACAAAACACAATATATACTGTTTTCAGTACCTTATGATCACTGCACTTAAGAAAAACGGCATAGTACATTCCTTCACATAAGCTAGCCCGCCTTTCCGTATTATTGCCGAAATTTGGCTATGCAAAGCAGTCAGCTATGTTTGGACAAGTTTACCGGTGTACCCAGGAAGTGTTACTGCTTGTTCATAGTAAAATGAAGGTGACACGGTCTGCTCAAGTGTGTTGTGCTTCTTACAGATCATAGATGGCCAGCTTGACAGACTAGCAACAGCCCCAAGTTCGATCTCTTGGCATGCAAAGTGCAGCGTACTGCATGGATTTTTTGTTACCTTTAAAACATTGCCATGACCCATTACTATACCAGCCATATTTCAGGAGAATTTTCAGTACAGATAAACCCAATTGATAGTGTTCAGAAACATTACTGCACAAAAATATGAGAATTTTCATGGAACCTGCACTGCGAAGTGCACAATAGTATCTGTCGGTATTTTCATAGTACCATGCTTTGAAAATGAATAAAATTATAGTGGTGATGCTATTGCAGCGGGAGGAGAGAAGATAGCATCCTTCTGTGGCAACTGGTCTGCCTAAGAATCTGTGATGCTGGTATCCCAGTGCTTTGCTACAGCTGCATTGATGAGGCCTGCCAGCCTTAGTATTCACACTGGGGACTTGGAGCCACTTGAGTGTCCCCAGTGTGAATGCTAAGGCTGGCAGGCCTCGCCATCGTAGCTCAGCTTAGCCACCTCATGATTCGATGGCCTCCCAATTTCATGCCACGCTGTGATGCAAGTGATAGAGTGGATGCACTGGTGATGAATGTCATACCACGTAGCTGCGCTAGTCGCGCAAAAGAGGTGCCTCACGAGGGCACTTTTTATCACTGGCACATGGCGCAACTGCCACAAACTGCTTTGACAATTTTGACCTGTGAGATGTCACGGGATGATATGGAAAAAATTTGCCACTTGAATCCTGGAGGTGGTACGTAGACAGTAAACGACTGTGCCAGCCTCTGCAATATGTATCACTGAGAAGTGCTTGTGCGTGGCGACAATGGACGCATGGCTGTGTATGTCAAAGAAAAGAAGTGTGTTTGTCATTTATGATCTAGAAAATATTATATGCAGTAGCAGACGAGTGCCAAGACCAATGGCAAGCAACACTGATGGTATGAAACTGTCAGGCATTTTTTTTGTTTTGGGGAATACTGTGTACAGTAAAACCCTGTTAATTCGGACTTCACAGGACCGGAAAGAATGTCCGAATTAACCGAGGTTACGAATTATCGCGAGTAAGAACAAAACACTTGAAAAATGTCTCCTGCACTATCAGACTTTTATTTCTAAAAGAAGTCTGTGGTTGCGGTTTGCTTCACGGACGCGTTGTGCGACGAAGTCACAATTTTGCGAAATTCCTGCAGGTGGCTTAGTCCGCGCACACTCCGCGGAAAGCATGCATATGTCCTTCAAAATGGCCAACTCATGCGCAGCCTCCGTCATAGTGTGGCGTGGACGCTCGTCGGCGTCACTTACGTCCTCGTCAGCCGATTCCCCTTCGTTGTCCAAAACTTCGGTGAGGATATCGCTGTTAGTCACTGTGCTGGCCACAGCAACATCGCTGTCAATTGCGAAGTAATCGCCTAGGGGCACATTAGCTGGCATGATGCTCACATAGCAGCCGTCTTACTCTTCGCCAGTTTCCTCATTCGCCGCCATCCCCGGATCAGCAGCATTGTGCACAAAGCCGCTATGCCTAAAGTAGTTTGCAACTACTGCAGGCGGTATGTGGATTGCACTTAGCAGGCTTACTTCGTACTGCTTGCTTGACTCCATGCAGAGCAACATCCGCTTAAGTACCTGCTGGCGATAGCGGCTTTTCATGAACTGTACGATTCCCTGGTCCATAGGCTGCAGGGAAGTCGTGTTTGGAGGCAGGAATAGCATTTCAATATTCTCGAGCCTGGGGACCTTCGTGTCTGCACTACAGTTGTCTAGTACGAACAACACCTTCTGAGCTTTGGCCGCAAAACGGCGGTCGAGCTACCTAGATAATCAGCTACCTGAAAGAAGAATGGGAGGGCATGAGCAGTATAAATAAACATGGACGTTCTTGGTGTATGGCTCGAGTCTTGAACACGCGACACTTTCCTGGTGCCGAAACCCGGGACAGAAAGATGTCGCGTATTCAAGACCCGAGCCCTACGCCAAGAAAGTCCCATTTTTCTACTGCTCGTTCCCTACCATTATTGTTGCTCCTCGGTTCTTCTGCTTGTCACGCAGCCGCAATCATACGCAACATACTCCCAAGGGGCCAAGACGATCGCGAGGCAGTCTCTCTAGCCTCGATCACTTGTCTCGCTGACTTGCTTTCAGAATATATGCTAACTGAACTAGTCGCTTTCCTTGCCTTTCCAGAAGCTAGTCGCCCTAAAGCATGCGCGCAGTATCATTCTCTCCTGGGTGCGCTGACCACTCCATTCAGCTATTGTAGCACTGAACGTGCGCTGTCATCAACACAGGAACAATATTTATCATATGCAATCATTAATGCCTCCTTTTAATGTTTATTTTTGTTCGATGTTTTATGGAATTTATGGATAACCTTAATAGTTGGCGAATTTTGTGCCACTCAAATTAAGTCCTTATGGGCTAACGCCGTAAAGACGTGGCAGTGCGTTAGCTGGGCACCAGTCTTCAAGTTGATAGATTCAGGTTAGTTTCCAAAATATTGAAAGAAAAACCTCGGTCTGTTTAGGACCAAAATTTAAGGAAATGTGGATTGCTCCCTAAATAAGGCTACGTGCTGATTTTTCAAGCCATGCTGCGAAACAGCCGTTAATTTGCAGTTAAGATCTGCTTGTTCCATTTACGTTCTTAATTGCTACTTGCTTTCTGAGGATCTTGTGTACGCACTTGTAGGAAATCGCAAGAGATGTCAAAATAAAATGCTTCCTGCGAGTTACATGTCGGACGTCTATGTTTTCATGGAATATGGAAAGCTCGTGGAATATTGAAACCTACTATGTAACTGGATATTTGCGTGCCGAGAATAATGTACCCATTAAACTTTGTCGGTGAGAAAGGAAACTGGCGATGTCGTACAGTCTTGCTATAGCACGTGTTGACAGCATGTGAGCTTTTTTAGTGACATGCAAACAGCTCCTTATTACATGTCAGTCAAGGAAGTGAACTGCTCTGTGCAGTTTACTTGCTTTGTGGTGTTCATGTACTGTTCAGTTCATTATTATTTGTTTGAAGGTTGTAACCGTACATACATTTACGTACAGGCGTATTTCACATGTGGCTTTTAAAAGTCCATGTCACGTCTTCATTGGCCTTGGTTCATGGAACTTTTTTGTGGATGCAGGCTTTCCGGATGATCCACAGTCCGGACGTATCGCCAGAATGACTTCAGCAGGGCCCGTTCCTCAGCCACGGCGGGCATTTCCTGCTACTCCAACCTCGCTGACTGGCAGTCCAGACATCGTGATGTCCATGGTGCTGTTTCTGCTCAGATTTTCGGACGTTCAACATATCTATGTGGTGCTGCCTTTGTGGATTTTGTACAATTGGGGGCAGATGTCCAGATGTTGCCAGGACTTCAGTGTCACACACTGGCGTTGGGATGTCTGGCTCATGCACTGTTGTGTGCAGAGAAAAGATTGCTCGTCCTGAGCCTGTAAGCTACATGGCTGCAATTTTTCAATATTTCTTAGGCTCTTGTGGCTACCAATATTTTGCTTTTTGTCAGGTACGTTACATATTGTTCTGCGATACATTTGATGCCGAATTATGCGTCGCTTTGATATGCGTTATACAGTGCCCGAAATGTACATTGGATGTCCTGTGCGATAGTACGGGCATGTGGTGAATTCTATAAGGTACCGTAATAATCAAAATGAGTGCACTGTAAGTAGTCTTAAAATTGTTGAGGATCTGAGCAACTTGCACGAAGCTGGCTCCATAGTTTAGTGCCATGTGCACCGAAAGCACATGACATCTACCACCACCCATTGCTTGGCTGTCTGGAATAGGTGGATCACCATGTAGTATGAAGTATGTTTTGCAACAGCGCAAGGGCTTTTTCAGTTCCTGATGCGAGTTTTTAGTTCTTGTCTGCGGGCTGAATTTTCATGAATCCTGTATGTTTTGTTTTAAATCAACATTACAAGGAATGTTTCATACTTACTTCTGCTTGGTTCTCGCTGAAATTTTCCATGTAGAGTGCATATTTTGATTTGCATCAGACATCAAAACACTTCGTATTTTTGCTTGTACTATAACTTTGTTCAAATCTTGTTTGCTGGTAGGCGACAAAGCCAATTCATGTAAGTGTCTGCAGCAGGTTGGGGCAGAAATTGTGTGGTGCAAAGTTCTGAGTAAAAGGAATCTTATGAAAGATTCTGCCATCAGCTTTGCAATAGAAATGCTGGTCAATGTACATTACTGCAGTAAAAATGCTAGCAATACCATAACTTTTCTCACTCATTTACTGCATTCATGCCTAAATAGAGAAACCTTCACGTCATGTTCTTGGTGTTTGATGCATAAAAATGGCTTCCATTTAGGTCATGTGCGAACTAAATTCGAATAGAAACAGTATGAAGCTTTCGTTTTACTTGTGGACGAGTGCATTTAGCCCGTGATGGGGGCACAAACACTTCAAAGCTTTGATTCTTTGGTTTTCTCAATTGCAAACTTTGTTATTGTGTATCATTTGTGCATTTTCGGCGAGAGTGTTGGGAAATACACAGCACCCCTGCAACTTCCACTGTTAAACGTAGCAGCCACTTGCTTCAAGTGACACGAGGGGTCTGGAATGCTGTATGACATCACAGAATTTTTACCTTGGCTTCTTTTTTTGCGTGCATGCATTTTTTTTCTGGACGTGCTTTATTATACAGTAAAAAATCATTTATTCAAACCCCGTTAACTTGAAAATTCGGTTAACTCAGACTCACGGCACTGTCCCCTCAAAACTGTGCATTCTTCATTCAGTGATGCCAAATGCTTGTTAATTTGGAGGGATCTAGTCGTGCACTGATTCACTCAAAGAACTCTGGAAAGGGCTGTTGGGACTCCATGCTTTTAGTTGCGTGGTCTCTGAGGCTTGGAAGCTCAAGCACTGCTTGCCTTAACCAACTGTGCAGCCGGTGTTTTTTAGAAACTGAAACTGGAGGAACAACTGTAGCAGAATATGATCATGATGATAGGGAATGAGGAGGAAGTAGCTAGGAGGTGCCAATCACATCCGGCCGAAGCGCTTGGGTCATCGGCACACTCAGTGTCTACTCAAAACGGATAACATGGACGACAGGGCTGTTTGTGCTACCGCTGCCACCCCAGCTGCGCCCGACGCCTATGCTGCTGCTTTCTCTGTAGTTTGACATTGCGTATAGCGTGCAGGCTCGTGCATGTTGCATTCTCCAACTGTGCTTGCGTGCGTTGCTGCTTTATAGTGATGGCAACCATTGCCAGAGTGAAGTGGCCACAGCAGCTAGCAAACGATCTAAAAAAAGATGCGAATGCAAGTGTTTCTTAATAGAAGATAATGAAAAAGTACGACGTTGAGGGAAGCAGGCAAGGAGGGTTGAAGCACCTGATGGGGCTGAAGAAGGTTGTTCTAGCAGGAATTCTGACAAGGCAGACAAACTAATGCAGTTTTTTTAAATAAAGGTTTGTCTGTGTCGAGTACATTCTTTTTTTGTTTTGATAGCCCATTCAATAATCCGAACTTCGGTTAACTCGGACTTTTTCGCCGTTTCCGTGAGATCTGGGTTAATGATGTTTACAGTATATATATTTTTTTCACAACTTGCCTACATTTTCAAATAACATCAGCTGGTCACCTCAGCAGTATTGTGACTGTACCAATCTTGTCAATTCTTATAAGCAGATCATACTCCATAAAACAACAGGTCTTTCACTTTCTCAGCTGAGCTTCTGCCAAACTCTGCCATTGCATGGTACATTACGGCTGCTAGCTTGCGGCATTTGTATGTTCAGTGAATAATTTGTCCCAGTGGGGAGAAATGATGCATGGGGAAACTAAACACAGCTTCCTGACAGCAAGTGCCACCCAAAGATGCCAGTATAACCTTCCATTATAACAGGAATGAGAATTTAAATGGCAAAGTTAGTTGAACAGAGCTGCAAATACACTCAAACTTTATTATTACAAGATTAAATCCTACAACAAAGTAAGTTTATTATATCTGAAAATTCGTTATCAAGGTTACTCCTCTCACGATCTATTGCAAGACTATTTTTCATTTACTTCGTTATAATAGAATATTTACTACAACAGTGTTAGTTATATTGAGGTTTCAGTGTATAACCCACTTATAATGGCAGCTCTGCTTATCTAACTTTGCTATTTAAATTATCATTCCTGTGGTAGTTTCTCGGTGTTGATGCGGCTAAGTTTTTCTTTTCTTTGCTTCTCCCATAGTAGCAGATGCATATGCTTGAAAGCCGTTCTCAACAAAGAATATGTCTCCTCAATTTGTTGTTCCACACTGCAGCATCTGACTACGAGAGAGGCTGCATGTCTCCGTGCTAATTGGCTAAAAGCAGTGCTTGATGATAAGTAAGTTAGGTTTGTCACATAACCTTCCTTATTGGTCACACGTCTAATGGCCCCACTTGTAGCACCATTAGAGGTTTTCAGCTGGTCCATCCAAATTGCAGAAGAAAACTATCACAGGGCACCACAGACATCTTGCATTGCATAATGCGGCATCTAATGAGGTCTTGCAATCAGAAGTAGTTTTCCGAATCAGCATTGGTTTAACAAATAAGAATGAATTGGGTTTGACTGCTGTGTAATGGCTTGATTGGAGCAGCCGTTCACATTTAGTGTTCTGAACTTTAACAGCCAGTGTACATGTTTTGCGTGCACCACATACTTTGATTTATTTCCATGTTCAGAAACTGCCTTTGGTATTGCCTTTTTTTGCAAGAATGTTATCTTCATGACATGCAAAATGTGCAACATTTACTGATTCGTGTAGTACCGAGAAGTAGCAACATTTAGAAACAGAAGTTTCCTTGTAGGTATCACAAAAACAAGGGACAGGTGCAACATCTGTAGGGCATAGTATCAAGCTGTATTTCACAATTTGCAGTGCTACGATGGTAGTCGAGAACATTGTGGTAATGCCGGATATTCCCGTTAGATGTTTTACCGCATGTCTTCCAGCTGAATTTTTGTGATGTTTCATCCATTGGGCAGCAGTATTGATTAAAAGTTGGTGCTCATTTATAAAATCTGGCAATGGCATCAGCTTCACCAAAACGCTCATTTGCTCTGGACGACAGCAGCCTCATAGCACCAGAAGACAGTAGCATTGTACATGGCCTGCTGCTGTGAATACCTGTTGCTTTCTGTTGAAGGAATACTGACATCACTTTGAGGCACCCCAAAAGGCACATCTTTCATTTCCATGATGTGCGTTGTCATCGCTCTATGCTCATCGGGGCCAGACAATGCGTACAAAATATTGTAGTTTGATTTTGAAGTTTGTTGTGAAGTGTCTGCAAGCCAGCCCCACTGCAATGGACCTTATCACGACAAGTCAACACAGTAGCTGGATTTGTAGAAGGTCTTGCACACAGTAGAAGGTCTTGCATGCAGTCTGAATCACGGAAGTCACCGTCAAAGTCTCTGGACGACAATAAACTTATCGTTGTTTACATCAACTACGTGGCAGTGACAGTAAATGACCGAACTGGTGCTGGTATTTTGCGAGTTTCAGTTTTCCCGTTATGTTGGACCCCTCTTTACACGTCATTGCGAAGCCACTGTCTCAAATACTGAAATCGAAAGGGCCTTTTTAAGGTAGTGGTAATAAAAATCGATTCAATTCATTCCCAGGTGCCACGGCACTTTTTTGGGGTTCTTGACACCTGCTTTTTTATTTAGAGCAACTACCCAAAAATATTTCAAATTCGTGTCGGTACTCTTTTAAAGGGGCCCAGCAAGACTTTTTGAGCATGGTCAGAAAACACTGCCGATCGGTAGTAGAGGCTCCCGAGAACACGCGAGCCGAATATTATAGCGTAGCACGTGGCCTAGAATGCACAATAAATTATCAGTCAGCTTAAAATTGCTTTCTCTTCTCTCATCAAATCTCAAAGATCACTCGTAGAAGGCCATCTGTCAGCCAATGGAAATCATGGCGCGCTCGGCCGTTACAAAGATCACTCTAGGAGGCCACGGCCTGTCCAAGCGTGATCACCCTGAAGAAGCCGTGTATTCAAAGAAAAAAAAAAAGAAAAAATACTTGAGGTCATGAGGCGCACGCGCTTTTTTTCCTTGCCTATCCCATCCCTCCTTTCTTAGCTTCCAACGCTTTCGTTGGGATGAGAAGAGAGAATGCGATTGCAGCCTATGACAAGTCATTGGTAACTCCACTCGTACCGGACAGACTCTTCAAATTTTCGTGGTGTTGAATTCAAGAGGCAATAAGCTCTTTTAGTGAATTCGTTCCACGGTTGCTTGAAAAAGTGTTTAGGGCCCTTTTACCCACAATGCTTGCATACTTTAATGAATTTTCAAATTTAACTTCGCAAGTGTTTTACCAAGACAAAAAAAAAAAACTCAACATGCTTAAAAGCTCCACTCAAGATATATTTGGGGCAGTTTTGAAAAATTTCAGGCTCTACGCAGCCATTGGGCTGCTGTTGCTGGGATTTCCATGGAGTTTATTCGGACAATTAGTGTGCGACTAATTGTCTTCAATATAAACTGAAATGCTGCCATCAGCAAATTCTTTGTAGGTCAAAAGTTAATTGCCTTTAAAAACCTATATTGCAAAGCTTAGATGAGAGACCTAATGAAGAAAAGACTAAAAGACTGGTAGTTTCTCGAATGATCATTGAATTTAACCAGGCTCTTTAATATGTGCAGGGGCCATGCAAATTTTCGGCTATGATACCCGTGATATGTGTATATACATGATTTTTCTTCAATCAAAAATGGTTTAGAAACAATCTAATTCTTGAAGCTTAGCTACATTTCCGTATGCTACTTGAGTTTTTACATTGCAGTTAAAGCCCTTTATGAGAGGCATGCTCTGGGCAGCAGTTCTTCTGTTTTGTGTGAGGTGTCTCTTATAAGCAGGTTATCACGTATACATTTTCTCATCAACCTGTCTTTTACTGCAGGTGCACTGGTGTCTCTTATACCCATTTGTCTCTTATATCAGTATCTATTATAACGGGTTTGGCCGTAATACTTCAGCAAGGTACATACCATGCTAAGAAAGCTGTTAGTGTGAAGAGCTAATAAAGAAAATCCCCCAGTTAATGATGAAGAGCCCCGCGTTCGTCTGCTCATAATTTGGGCCCACAGGCTTGGGCACCTCTGGCTGTTCAACTCATCATTACATAACGTGCACAAATGAAATGAGTGGCATTGCTAATATTGGTTTAATGCTTCTGTGAAATTTGTCAGAATTTTTCAGATTTCCTGGCTTATTGCCTCTAGAAACCTGCAGCTAGTCACTTGCATCTTTCCAGTTGTTTTTGTGATGGAAATAAACTAGGGGCATGTTGTGATGATGCTGTAAGGACCACATTGCTGAGGCCTTTATGCATATTGAGGGAGCATCCCTGCGCTTTGCATGAAGTTTTGGAAGCTTGACTCACTTCGTGCAATATAAACATGATAGTGTTGTCTTTCCACATCATTTTATCGACGTTATTTGCTATCAGTCTTCGGCCAAAACCATGAGTGTCCAACACATTCGTCAGCAGTTTTTGTCGTTTGCTCCTGCGAAACCCTGCACAGCTTTCTGGCATGTGACTAAAGCTGAAATTATCTGAGAAGGCCGATTTATGAGATATCATGTACGGTTTCCTTTCATTGACATTTATGCCTTGTGGCATCTTTTCATATAAGCAGTGCTGCGCGTGTTTGATCATCTCATGAATAGCCTCGTGGTTTATTAATGGCGAAATTCAGTGAAGCTCGTTTGCACGAAAATTTCTCAAATGTCATAGCCCCCGTTTAATGTCGTGTTTGATAGAGCGCTCTGCCACTTGCACTAAGTGTAGAACGATCCTCAGGTGAGCTCTTAGTGTGAGGAATTGTGAAATCGGGTTATTTATAAGGACGTTAACATGGCACCGATGTGACTGATCTTAGAAGAACTTGTTGTTTTCAGCGACATGTGTCGACATCTGTCAGTGCACTTGCATAACCAGCTTGTGCTTTTCCTTTGAACATGTTGTTCAGCTGTTAAGTTATAGGTACGTAGGTAGATTCTGCTAGCTTGTGCAAGTAATGGACTCTAAGTGAAAAGCCAGCACAGCGTCATATCCACAACCATTTTCTTGTACTGGTGTAAAAAATTAATGTTTTTGTGTCCGTGCTTGTGACCTGTACTTATAGATTTGTCATTGCAAATTCTTTGTCATATTCATATAGGGTGAACGAGATTGGCAGTGTCACTGAATGTGGTGCGAGAGAAATGCACAACTGTACATTGCCTTCCTGGCATGAAATTTTAAGACTGTATGTGGCGCTACACACTATTCTGTGCGTTGTCACACATTTTGTTGATTGAACAAGTTTAAGAGTACTTTCAACTGTCCTATATTTCTGCTCCAAAAATTTCTTTAACATAGGTGTTTAGCTTCGAAACTGCCTAATTGTTAAGAACAGAAATTGTTGAAGCATAGTTTTTTTTTTGTTGTTGCATATACACTCAAAGCTCACTATAACAGAGCTGCATTTTACACAAAAATAATTTTATATATATTGAAAGATTGGTATCAATGTTTATCCCTAATGCTACATCTATTGCAAATATTTTTCATGTACTTCGCTATAAATGCACCGCTTTTTTGTTATACTATAGTAGACTCTTAATAAACACAACCTGAAGGAACCAGTAAAGTGTGTTCCATCTAACAAGAGTTCCGTTTACTCAGAGATGAACAGGGGCACTTGATTGCAAGAACCAAACCCATCTTGTCAGAAGCATTTGTTCCGTTTAAGCAGTAGTTCTGTTATATATATTTCCGTTTACTGAGAGTCTAGTATCTCTGTTTATTATATTTAAATTTGAGTGGATTGCCATTTCTTTCTGTTCTGTGTACTTCATGGTGTAAGGGACTGTTCTGCCTACTGTGATCATGAAGCCAAAATTTGAACAACGAATTAAGCACACCTGAAGTGTTCGGTGGGGATGTTTTAATGTATTTTTTTTTGTGTGCCAGCATATTGTACGTTATGCTTCTTTTTTTTTTTTCAGTTCTAGCAATGTTTCATCACCACCAGAAATTTTTTTTTTCGGTAATATATAGCTCAGTTTACAAATGTGTGTCATTGTAAGGCTAACCAACATACATATGTCTGTGTCTTCCTCGATCCACTTCAAGTATTCAAGATGCTAATTATTTTCTTGCCCTGATACACAAAGGGATGATATTAAATAAGTGCCTTAACGAGTGTACCTGTCAATTTGTGTTGGTGTAGTGTACAGCGATTACTGCTATGATATAACAAGCTCTGTTTCCATGCGCACGTGTTCCGTACATTCACAACGTGTACAGCCGTGAGAAAAGTATACGGACCATTGCCGTTTTTATACCTCTGACGTCTGCACTATCTATTGGCATGTCCTCAGCTGTAGAAAGCATTTCTTTGGTGACTTCTGTCAAGAGTAATGCTCTCTAAAGCAGATGGCTCGCCACTGAAGGGCTTGGACAAGGATATCTGCTCGCGTTTACATAATATGTGCTTTTTCTCATGAGTGTACTTCATGCGACGTCTTCTTGAGCATAGAAATTCGTAACCAACTTATTGTAGTGTTCTATAGCAAGCTTGTGTGCAATGTTACCAACATTATCCTACTGTTTACTCGGTGTACACAACACCTGCTTCACATGCGCCAATAAAAAAGCCGCATCGTTGGTTCATCGAAATGTTTATTGTGTGCAAGTGGGACCCACTTTGTTCTCTCACCATTGCTGTTGTCTCCTTGCCAGGGGCATATACAAGAAAGTATGGGTTGCGCACAACTACCAGGACACGGAAGACACAAACTAGTTCTAACTTTCAACTCATTTAACTTTTATTCAGCTAACTTTCTTGCAAGTACGAACCAACTCACGCAGCAGAAATTTTATTGAGCCAAATACTGAATTTATTTCAATAGTAGGGGGGGAGGCTCAAGTTGTAGAAAGTGTGGTACTTAAAGAAGCCCTGCAATGCGTTACGAGCTCATAATAATAAAAAATTGACTTCACTGTAGCAGTTTATTGCCTCACGAATTGACTACTGCAAAAATTTTAAAATTCGTGAAGTACTAGCGGAGTCAAAGCCTGGCCACACATACCCACTGCAGCGCGACACTCATTTAATGCCGTGCTGAGCGCTTTCTTTCGTCATAAGGAGAGTGCGCAGCTCCGCGTCGGAAAGCCACGTCCTGACGGGCTGCAACGGGCGTGCGTGCAGCATTATTTGACGATTGTCAAAATGTGTTGCAAAGCCCTTGTTAAGCTGAGTGGGAATTCTACAACCTAATATATCGTCTATTTCCGAGTATATATTAAAATAATCACAGCATATCCACGAGGTGAATGATGAGTAGGGTGAAGTAGACAGATGGAAGCACGGCAACTGACAGACGCTTTATCCCACTCATCATCATTCACTCCGCGGGTATGCTGCGACATTGTTTTTATTGACATGCAATGCAATGCAACTGGCTACTATGACTATGAGGACACGGGACATACGATTCATGGCGTAAGGGGCTTCGCCACTGAAAGAAATTGAAAGGGAGAAGAGCGGGATGTTTGGACATCTTGACTCCACCCTAGCTGGATCCACCGGTGCACCTCACTTGTCTACAATTTTAGCGCGACATGTAATGAAAACACATTAATTGGTGTCAGGCTGACCATTTAGTCCTTGGATAAAGGGTGACCAGCAGGTAGACATCGTTACGAAGAAATAAAAATGGCAGTATATCCACAGAGTGAATGATGGGGAGTGGGGCGAAGCATTCGTGCGTCCATTCGTTCTTGCTTCTGTCTGTTCTTGCGTACGTCTGTGTAACCGTCCATGCGTCCATCCACCCATCCGTGCGTGCATCTGCTCGTGCGTCCGTCCCTGCGTTCGTCCATGCATCCGCGCCTGCGTCTGTTCATGCGTCCATCCATGCATCTGTCTGTGTGTCCGTTCGTCCATCTATTCAGCACTTCAAGTACCACCATCTCGCATCTTTTCATCATATATTCTCCATATAGAAGCACCGCCATCCAGCGGACATGTCAAGAACTAAACGGGAGGTGGCACATGCACACTTTGTTACGGCTTGTGCTTCGGGTTTACTTCCCACCTTTAACCACCTCGAGTTCATGGTGTATACTAGTTCACTGTATTCATGGCTATGTGCTGTATTCGCTGTATTCATGGCTATGCGCTGTATTCATGGCTTTCTAAAACCAAGGAGGTTACACCCAGCGAGTATAACGTAGCAACCCTTTCTTGTCAGATCGTGCTCAATGTACATGCCAATAGCTGCTAATGGGGATCGCAGTGTGCGCGTTACCTAAAGGCCGAATGCTCCTGTCTCTCATTCCCCCTTAGCAGCCATTAACATGTGCATTGAGCACTATCTTTTATTGTTCAACAACGCACAGAAGAAATCTCTCACCGGAACCACCTTGGAGGTCAAAATCGTAAGGACCGCTATTTCGGGTATGTGCCACTGGTGGTTACGTACTACGAGGGATGCACAAGCCACGCTCTAAGGAGCTTCGCTCCTAAAACACGTCACTGCCCTGGGAAAATAAAACAGGACCCTGCAGCGATTTCCTATTCTTGAATGATCTGAGCAGAATATTTGTGCGTCTCGACAATCGATTACCAGTATGAGTGGAGTTAAGATTGGTCGCATAGATTCAAACGCTCGGTGCTGGCTATATCCAACCTTATAAACAGTGTCTGCATACTCCTATCGTACAGACGTCACGTCGAATGACAATTTCAGTGAAGCGCCATCCACTGAAGCTCATTTATCTAGTAGTGTCCAGGGCCGCCACACATCCTCGCTAGCGCAAGCGCTACATATCAGCTAGCATTACCGCTTCTTGTGTTACTCAGATACCCATGTTGTTGTCGGTATCGTTATGCAACAGTAAACATGCGACTGTTATGCATATGTCTGTGCCCACATTTGTACATATCTTGAGTGTCATTTCGTAACGTTTCTTGCAATAAAAAAAATTACAACACAGCTTCCTCTGTAATTCGCATGGCATCAATACCCAAGGTATGTGGGATCTGCCGTTTTTTTTTAATAGCGAAGCTGTTCTAGCTCAGTATAAATGTCAGTCGTGACCCAAAAATACCATTCTCATCATGAACCTGAACACACCCTCCTCATCCCCCAGTAAAAAAAAAACAAAAATCATTAACACCAATTGGGAAATCTGATTGGCCTCAACTGGTCCCACTTGTGACCCGTTATCTAATAGGTTTCAATTGGATGCTCTGAAGTGTCCAATCTGAATGCTAGCCCATTGCCCTTCTCTAACTGGTTGTTGAACACAGTGAGAAAAAGTCACTTGGTCCAACTGGCCATACCGATTGGCCCCCAATGGAATAGGCTCAAACGAATCGGGACCGTGAACTTCAATGCGAGAGCCCAATCGGAATTAATAGTTCCAAGACAAAGAATGCATATTTTTCATTTTGCCACCCTATTAGAATTGTAGATAGTCCAAAAGCTTGTGCGATTTCAAGCCAGTGCACATAGGAGGATTGCTATTCTGATCAGAATGTTTGGATATAATTATACATGTCCATGTGATATTTATTTAATAATACTGTCAACCCTCGCTTGAGGGTCGTAACAGGGAGGGAGTACAATATGAGTACAAACAGAACACCACTAAGCAATAAACACAGGAAAACAGAATGGGCAGTACTTCAACCATTACCAAAATAAGCATCAATTTCTCTGTCAAAAGTTTGCACATCGGTACTATTAATAACATGTTGGGGTAAAGAATTCCATTGTTCTATAGCGTCCGGGAAAAATGACCACCGAAAGATGTCAGTGCGAGTGCTAGAAGGTTCAATGGGGGCATCATGATTCAATCTAGTGCTACGTTTTCCAGGAAAGCGTATGTACGCGTCTTTAGGTATATTGAATATCCCTTGGATTATACGAAATAATGTTTTTTTTTGTTTCAGTCTTCGAATTTCCAGTGATTCTAAATTGCATGAATTTAGCACATCAGTTACTGAATCCCGCCTTCTATATCTAGAGCACACAAACCGAGCTGCACGCCTCTGAATACGTTCCAACTTGGTGACCAAGTGTTTCTGGTGAGGGCTCCAAACCACAGAGGCGTATTCCAGTCTAGGTCTAATATATGTGTGGTATGCAAGCAGCTTTACATGTTTCGTTGTTTTATGCATCTTTGCTCGTAGAAAACACAGTTTTTTAAATGACTCAGAACAAACCGATTCGATGTGACGGTGCCAAGTTAGGTTGTTCGTAATTGTCACCCCTAAGTATTTAAAATGGGACGTTTTACTGAGTTTGTTGCTCCCGATGTTGTACTGGAAATTGAGAACATTTTTCTTGTTGGTAATGTGTACATATGTTGTTTTTTTAAAGTTAATTTGCATATCCCATTCACAACACCACAATTCCTAATCTTCAAGGCACTTATTCAACTCGAGCTGATCATCAGTACAGCTTACAGGCATATAAATCAAACAATCATCAGCATAAAGTTTCATCTTAACAGGTGGCTTTACAATAGTACTTATATCATTTATGTACAACAAAAATATTAAGCCTCTGATCTGATATTTTTATATATAGGACCAATTATAGAGACTGTTATAGGTCCAATTGGTGCTTTATATAGGACAGCTTTGGGTAGGACTATATACGTACACTGAATCGATATCAATTATGTTTAATATCCAGTTGAGAGAAATGCACCAGGATTTAGGTTGATCTTGTGATGAATCGAGAGATTCATAGTAAAATGTATAAATGGGAATGGGCTAAGGACCCCTCAAACAAAATATGTTTCTAATGGGAATTCCTCCAATTGATTTCAATTGGACTTTACTGATTGCCAATTGGTTTCAATTGGACCACAGAAATGAGTAAAGCAGTAAAAGAAGATATGAGTAAAGCAGTAAAAGAAGTTAGTAGAATCATGTTTGCAACTACAACATTACTCCCGAAACAAAATATTTGTTTTAATATGATATACAATGTGTCATTTATTTCATTTGTTCACTTTACAGTCGGCCACAAAAATGACTCCATTGTTCTTGAGACCCAGCACAACTCACTAGGCTGAAGTTACTGACATGCTGAGTTAGGTTATGTTTATGGTTGAACATAGCATATGTAGAGAAATTTTTCATTATACGGCTGCCTTCAGTAATGCTAAAGCATGCAATCTAACAACATGGTTTCTTAATTTTGATACACCTACAATTAGATCAACAGATGAGACCTTTAGTTAAGAGCTATACATTACTTAGAATTAGCGAGATTGGTCTGACCAATCAACCTATTTGGTCAAAAGATTAGGATTAGGTTTTTATGCTACAAATTGTTTGAGTCAATTGGACCCACCAGCCCAATTAGTAAAGCCAACAGGAATTCATTGTTGTTTCTAATCGGTGAATTGGGATCACCTGCTAGTCTAATTTGTCAATCCATTTGGATATTGATTGTGTTACCAATTGGTTATGTCGGCCAGACCCCTTCGAACCTAACAGGATGACGGATTGAACCCATTGAAATTTTCCAGTTGGTGTCCCAAAACACAGTTGCACACTTCTATTGGTTCCAATTGGAAATGTCCAATCGCTTTCAATGGGATCCAATAGAAAATTTCCAATTGGTCAGGGGAAATTTTTTCGACTGGGCC